TATGACTGACTAGTATTCCACTGTGTACATATACCACATTTTCTTTATTCAATTATCTGTCAATGGACATTTAGGTTGGTTTTAAATCTTGGCTATTGTGAATAGAGCTGTGATAAACATGAGCGTGCAGGAATTCCTTCAACATGATGATTTCTATTCCTCTGGGTGGGATTGCTGAATCATATAGCATTTTATCTGTAGTTGTTTGAGGAACTGCCATACCATTTTCCATAATGGCTACACTAATTTACATTTCCACCAACAGTGTATATGAGTTTCCTTTTCTCAGCATCCTTATTTGTTATTTTCTGTCTTTTTTATAAAAGCCAGTCTAACTTGAGTGAGATGATATCTCAATGTGACTTTGATTTGCATTTTTTGATGATTAGTGATGTTGAGCATTTTTTCATCTACCTGTTGACTATTTGCATATCTTCTTTTGAGAAATGCCTATTCAGTGCCTTCGCCCATTTTTTAATTGGATTATTTGTTTTGTTTTGTTTTTTTTCTATTGAGTTGCTTGAGTTCCTTATATATTTTGGGTATTAAAGGATTAATACTTAATATTAATTGTTGGATGTACAATTTGCAAATATTTTCTCCCATTCTGCAGGTTGTCTCTTCACTCTGTTGATTGTTTCCTTTGCGGTGCAGAAGCTTTTTAGTGTAGAGGGTTAGAAATCTTGATTCTCATTTGATTGTTAGAATAGCATTTTTAGGTAATGCATGCATGGGACAAAAGTCCTCAATTAAGGGACAAAAGTCCACAGCCAGTGAGCAAAAGCCCATCTAATCAATTCTAATTACTGTTTTGGGATGGGATTATGTATTTTGACTATTTAACTTACTGATTGTTATTAAAAGATATTGAAAGAGTTGCTGTAGGAAAAAATGTGAAAAAAATGTTTGCTAAGGGCAAGTTGTTAGTGGAAACTTTAGAGACAATTATCATAAGAATATAACTTTTGCTTAAATAATTTAAGGAGAGGTTATATTTTAGGTTAGAAAATGATCACAGTCTGATCAATTTAGCTTTTCACAAATTGTACTTGGGAATGTCACCTTGTTAATTTAAATGATGTTACTAGTTTCCATTGTTTAAACTATACTTAGCTATAGATAACTTTTGTCACATTGCCTGTGTCTTTGTGTCTTTTTGAAATGGTAGAATCAACTGATTTTTCTTGTGAAACTTCCTTGTCTTTGCATAAGAAAACAGAAGCTAACTTTGAATCAGGGCTGTACCCAGTTTTCTCCTTCCAACAGAGGAATTGCTGAGGTGCAGTCCGTTTGGGCTTCTCAGTGCATTCATGTTGCTTTGAGTAATCCTTTTTTTGCATCTCCATTACACAGAGAGAAGTGTAACATTTTAGTTTGATATAACTCACTTGTTTATTTTTAATTTTGTTGCCTGTGCTTTTGAGGTCTTATTCATAAAATCTTTGCCCAGTCCCATGTCCTAAAGCATTTCCCCTTTAGGAAATGTTTTCTTCTAGAAGTTTTATCATTTGGGGTCTCATATTTAAGACTTTAATTCATTTTGAGTTGATTTTGCTATATGGTGAGAGGCAGGGGTCTAGTTTCATTCTTCTACACATGGATGTCCAGTTTTCACAGCACCATTTATTGAAGAGGTTGTCCTTTCCCTAATGTACATTCTTGGTGCTGCTGTCAAAGATCAGTTGGCTGTACATACATATGTGGATTTATTTTTGGGTTCTTTATTCTGTTTCATTGGTCCATGTGTCTTTTTTTATGACAGTACCATGCAATTTTAGTTACTGTAGCTTTGTAGTATATTTTGAAGTCAGGTGTATAATGCCTCCAGCTTTATTCTTTTTGCTCAAGATTGCTTTGGCTGTTTGGGTTCATTCATTGTTTGAAAAATAGGCCTGATTTTTATAATGTGATGATATTACTTGAATAATTTAAAAATGACTGATAAAGTTGACCAAAGAAAGAAGAGAGCTTGAAGAAGAGCTCATTTTAGGACCAGCATTTCTACTAACTAGCTGTGTGACCAGGAGACAGTCACTCTTCCTTGTTATACAATAACTGATTTTGAACTTCTCACTATATGCAACATAAAAGAAAGTACATGCCCAGGACAAGGGGGTAGGGAACATAGCAAGGTCAGAGATTGGGGAACTGAATCTGGAGGCAAAACCAACATTTCTCATTCCCTTCCTTCATTCCTTAGTGTAGATCTGGGATTGCAAAAACAACCCTATGAATCCAGTTCTCCATTTTTCAGAAAAGGTGGAGTAGTGGGTGCTAGAAATAAAACTCTGACCGGCTACTCTTTCATTTGTTCAACTGGCTGGCATTTAAAGACATCAATGTGAGTCCCAGGATACTAAGAGAATAAACTTCAATGGCTGCTGATCTAGCCCAGAGAAAACTTCTGGTTTCATGGGGAGGGGACATCTAGAAGAAATTTTCAGAGGGTGCATCCTGGGCTGGGTGGTCCAGACCAGAGCCTCTGAGACTGTTATTGACCCAGGTGATTTACTGACGTCTATGTTATTCAGGTAGGAGTGTGTATAACTTGGAGACCTAACCCAGTTTGGTATCTAAATGGGGGTTAGGAAAGGCTTTCTGAAGAAGTTGCATTAAAGCTGAGACCTAAAAGATCAGTAGGGGTTGGCAAGGTGAAGTGATGGCATCTGTGAAGGCCCAGAGGTAGGGGAAAGATGGAGCTGGTTGGGGACACAGGGAGAAGGTCTGCAAGACTGGAGCATCATGGGGGTTGGGGACAGAGGTCTCATGGAGGCTGGAGAACCAGACAGCGGCTGACATGGTGCTCACTGTGTCCAGAGCAAGTGGGGAGGTAAGGGAATCAGAGTTTAAAAGTTTCATCTTTAAAAAGGGGGGCTTGAAGGAAAACTACCACCCTGGCTCTGTTGAGAATGGATGGAGGAGGTTGGGGAGAGCAAATGTGGGGAGAATGGTCAGGAGGCTCTTCCTAGGTGAGAATGAGGGTGCACATCACCTTGGACTGTGTTGATGATAGTGGAGATGAAGAAAATAAATATTTAATGAATAATATACAGACAGTATAAACCAACTCCCATGTGGATGTATGGGATGAGAGAGAGAAAGGAAAGACTTGGAAGTTTCTAGCTTGAGCAACTGGAGGGAAAAAGATGAATAGTTCAGTTTTGGACACAGTGAGTTTGCAGTGCTTATGAAAGCACTCAGGTGGAGGTGTCCCCTCCTCTAACAGCTCTCTGGCCCCGTCAAGACTTCCCAGCCATGAGCTCTCTCATCTTTTCAGTATCTTCTCCTTTTGCTCTCACTTCAGTTTCTGTGGGACTCAGATGCCAGGTACAATTATTAAAATTCCATCCTTGCTTAAACTTTAAATTTCCTTGCCTTTCTTTTGTTCCACTGTACTTACCTGTGTTAAGAACTGAATGGTGTCCCCCCAAATTCATATGCTTAAGTCCTAATCACAAGTACCTCAGAAAGTGACTGTTTTTGGAGATAGGGTAATTACCTTTAAAGAGGTAATTAAGTTAAAACAAGGTCATCGAGGCTCCAAATCTAATATGACTGGTGAAGAAAAGAAAAGAAAATTTGGACACAGAGAAATACCGTGTCAAGACACAGGACAAAGATGGCCATCTACAAGCCAAGGAGAGAGGCTACAGAAGAAATCAACCCTGTTGACACCTCTATCTTCAGACTACATCCGGAATCCAACTTTGTTTTGCCACCTTGTTACTACTCTGTTGGTCGAAGTCATCATGACTGGTCTCCATCATTCCATCCTTTCCCTCCTGCAGTTTATTATCAACACCAAAGCCAGATTGAGCTTTTACAATGTCATGCCAGATCAAGTCCTTCAGTGATCTTGAATGGTTTAAAAATAAAATACGAAGTTTAAATAAGTCTTTATCTTGTCGTACAGAGCCATAGATGATCTGGCCTCCTCCTACCTTCTGAACTTCTCTCCTACTCTCTCTCCCTCAATGCTCTAGCCTACAATTGTCTCCTTCCTGCTCCGGGGAGACAAGGGAAAGGGCTATTCTGCTCCAGATTCTTTGCATCTGCTATTCTCTCTGCCTGGAAATGTTCACCCCAAGGAAGTCCTGTGGCTTGATCCCTCACACTAGTTAGGTCTCTGCTTAAATATTACAGATATTCTGTTGAGAAAGGAGAAACAGGAAAAGTTACTGGATTATTTATTGAATTCCCATTTAGAGTGCAGAATTACTGCACGTCAAACACTGTTCTAAACACATTCCATGGACTCTAAAATTGCATCTCCTCAACAGCCCCACGGAGCAGGTAGTAATAGCTACATTTACTGAGTGTCTACCATGTGCCAGGCATTGTGCTAAACGCATTGTAAATATTAACTCGCTTAATCCTTATAACAACTTCATGAAGCAGGTACTGCTTCTATCCCTGACTTTCATCTGAAGCACAGAGAGGTATAGTAATTTGCCCCATGTTACCCAGCCAGAACTGGGTTTGAACCCAGAGCTTAGCAGCCACTGATGCCAGTTGAGAGGTGTGAGACTTAAATTGTGATTTCAAAGGTGGCTGAGTGGCATTCGTAAACGCTGGAAAGTGGAAGTAGAACATTCCTTCCCAGGCATGAGGCACTGTGTGCACACAGGTGTGGAGATGGACAGTCAGCCTTCACCCTTCAGGAAGCACTTGTGGCTAAAGCGTAATGTGCAAGGTTGATAAAGAAAGTTAGCCAAGGAATATATGGCTACGGTGTCTGTTATTCGGGCATCTGTAGAGGGTTAAAGTGGCTGTTCCTCCCTGAGATGGAAAGTCTGGGTCATTCTGCTCAGGAGTCTGGAAGGGAACAGCTACAGCACTTGTTGAAATCTTTTAAGTCTTTTAAACCCTTGTTGGTCCAGCCTTTGAAGAAGGGGGTGGGGGTGGGGGTTGGGAAAGGAATCCGAGAAAAGGCAAGTGAAAGAAAAGGGGGAGGTGGAGTTTTAGGACGGGGTGGGGGCACCAGGGCCCGCACTGTTCTTTCTTCCCGAAGATCCTGCAGCCGGCCCCGCCGCCCCGCCTGCGGCCCTATGGCCGACAATGAATTCAGCCCCGTGCCAGGGGACAAACCCTGCCGCCCGATCTCTAAGAAAACCCGGATCTGTCTCGGCGTCAGTCTCCTGGTCGTGATGCTCGCCGTGGTGGTCGTGGTCGGAGTCCTAAAGTGGGGCCAGCCGCACGAGCACTTGCGGTGGAACGGGACGGGCACCACCGAACACCTTTCCGAGATCGTCCTGGGACGGTGCTTCCTCTACACTCGCATCATACAGCCCGAGCTGAGGTGAGCTGGGCCGAGCCTGAGGCGCACGGTGGGCACCGCGCGGGGAGCCGCCGGGACTGCCGGGGACAGAGCATCTTCTGCTGCGGATCAGCCGGGAGCTCGCTGGGCAGTGCCCAGTGGGGAGTCCCGGGCTGACGGCCCCGCGCGCCACTGGGAAGAGCGGGCGCGTGGGCACCGGGCGCGTGGGCACCGGGAGTGCGGGCGCGGAGCGGAGCTCGTGGGCACCGGGCGCCTGGGCACCAGGCCTGCCCGCGGGGAGGGGAGCTCGTGGGCACCGGGCGCGCAGCCGAAGGACGCTCGGCAGAGATGCCCGCCTCTGCGCACGGTGCCCGGAGCCCTGCCCAGCCTCGGCGGTCACAGCCCTGCTGCGGGGACAGAAAATAACTCACGGGGGCTGGGGGATGCTGCCGTTTTACTTTTTTTAAGATTGTATTTGTTTGCTTGTGTATTTATTTCTTAGCATAGTCATTATTCCACACTTTCTTTAAGCCCTTTACCCGACCTATCCCTCCCCAACTCCCCTCTGTCCCCGCGTCTCTAGTATCCTCAGGTTTGCTGTCTCCTGAAAGTTCACCGCATTGTTCCGGCCTTTCCTTGCTTTCATTCTGTCATCTTTCTGTCCGCCGTTCTTAGCACCCGTTCTCAACGTTGCATGGGGTTTCCTCCGCTGTCTCTGTCCGGAAAGTGGCCCGCAAGGTTAAGACACCTGGTTAAGTGGCTCCCGGAGCCTGCGGTGGGGAAGAGGGCGTCAGAGGGACAGACACCGAAACTGGGTTTCTTCATTTATATGCAACAGCACCCTGATTCTTCTCATTAACAAAAGGATGCCAACTTTAACAGTTGAGATATTCTTTTACGGCACAGTGCATAACCTCCGTGAATCTCGACAGACCGTGGAAACACCACTCACACCAGTCTTGAAACCTTTCCAGACGGTTCCTCGCGCCCTTCCTGGCTCCTCATCTCCTGCACGGGGGAGTCGGTGTTTTTGACTTTCGCATTCCCAGGGCTCATTTCTCACGTGCTACGTAAAGCAGAAATGGGAGACATGCAGGGGGAGCTGCGACTTTACGCCCTGGGGTCGAGACTGCAAGATTTCGCTTCCCGAACACCCCGATCCAGCAGATGACCCTTAAAACGTCCGCGCTTCCCGGGCGCGAGCGCTCGGCGGTTCCGGCTTTAACGCAGATGCTGGGGCTCTCATTGCGAATTGTGCATGACCAGAGATTCCCGGGGGTCCCATTAAGTGTTTTGTTCACAGATGGTTAAATACTTAATTGAAAGAAGCTAGAAGTTGAGGCGTCCCTTGTGGTTGCACTTTAAAATATCAATTAAATCTATTGAATCCGATCTGAAGTGGTTATGATAACAAGCAAGCTTATTTTTATTGTCACCTTAACTTAATAGCCAAAACCATTTTTTTGGATTGTTCAATCATCTTCGGTAAATTCACACTATTGGCTAGTTTAGCACATGCATATAACAAGCTACGTGCTCCACAGAAATCACATGGCTTTTTAATTTTGTCAGGATGCATGCCCATTATAAAACACACCTGTGTACATATATGCATGTATACATTTCTTCAACGTATATATGTGTAAGAGTATATATTCCACAAAATATTAATAAATTGATGTTTATTTAAATCATAATCCACTTAAAAATTAATTAACAGAAGGACATAGCCTGTTAATATTTTGCTGAACATTCTTCCAGACATGTACACAAGCACACTTCCAAGAGCACTGGTGTTGGCACCGAGCGTGCCTGTTCCAGAATGTGCACACACACACACATTTCATATAAATGGGTTAGTAATAATATGGTGCTTACTATGTGCCGGGCACTTAGAAAACATCAGATCATTTAGTACTTTAACAACCGTATTAGGTAGTTACTACAAGTGTCTCCATTTTACCCAAAAGCAAACTAAGGTACAGGCTTGAGTAAATTGCCTAAATTTGGCTCCAGAGACTGAAATCTCAGCCATTAAGCTATACACATTGTGTATGTCTATAGGCAGAATGACAAGTTATTGATCATGCTAGAAACTTTTGAAATAGGAAGATAATAGAAAATACTACTAAGAACTGTGCTGAGTCAATAGGCTTAAACTGGAGCATAGGGTCACCTTATCCTTTGGGAGGTTTAAGAGCACAAACTCTGGAGTCATACTGCTTGGATTTGAATCTTGGCTCTGTCACAATGTGACCCTGGGCAAGTTACTTTGTTTCTCTGTACTGCAGTGTTCTTGACCATAAAATGGAAGCATAATAATAGTATCTACCACATAGGGAGATTAGGAGGATTAAGAGGAATAATCCTGTCATATAATAAGTGCTCAAAAAGTTACATATTTTTTTGGAAATACAGCATCACATACACCTTTCCACAATAATAAACATAGATCAAGGCCAGTCCTTTCAAATGGATGCCTAGTTATGTTAGTCCATTTCTCTTGCTCAGAACAAAATACTTGGAACTGGATGATTTATAAGAAAACAATATTTATTGCTTTCCATTTCTGAGGCTGGGATGTCCAAAGTCCAGGGAAAACAGCTGGTGAAGTTCTTGGTGGTGGTGACAGGGATGGCAGGGTATCACATTGCAAAAATGGCAGAGAGAGCAGAGACTAACCTCCTCCTCCACTCTATTTTTAAAGCCCACCATTCCTCTGATCACCATTATTAATCCATTCATTACAGCAAGGTCTTACAATCTAATCATCTCTTCAAGGCCCCACTTTTCAATTACCATAACAGAATTTCCCACGCTCAACAGTCACAGTGGGAATTAAGCTTCTAATATAAGGACTTCGGGGAACATAATTACATCAACCCACAGCACTAGTATTATATATTTAAATCACAATCCAGAAAATTAGTCTTCTGATGATGAAATTTATGTTGTTCCTAATTTTTTACTATTATTCTTTTGTTGTTGTTGTTGTTGTTTTGTCTTTTTTGTGACCTGTAAGGGGATCTCAACCCTTGGCTGCACCGTGCTCAGCCAGTGAGCAGACCGGCCATCCCCATATAGGATCCAAACCCGCGGCTGGATAGCCGCTGCACTCCCAAGCTCCGCACTCTCCCGAGTGTGCCACGGGGCCGGCCCCTATTATTCTTTTTTTTAACTTATGTGGTTTCTTGTGTTTTTGGCATCTTATCTAAGAGACCATCGCCAAATCCAGCATCACGAACACTTATTCCTGTGTTTTAGGAGTGCTGTGGTGTTTTTTTGTTTGTTTGTTTGTTTGTTTTCCTTTTTTTGTCTTTTTTACTGACCGGTAACGGGATTGCAACCCTCGGTGTTGCGCCTGCACCGCGCTCAGCCAGTGAGCGGGAACCAGTCTCCACATGGGATCTGAACCCTCAGCGGGAGCGCTGCCGCTCTCCCAAGCGACACACTTCTCCAGTGCGCCACTGGGCCTACCCATGTGCTGTGGTTTTAATTCTTATATTTAGTTCTGTAATCCACTTGGAGTTAATTTTTGTATATGGTGTGAGAAAGGGGCTCAGCTTCATTGTTCTACATGTGGCTATTCACTTGTCCCAGCACCATTTGTTAAAGAAATATCCTTTCTCCATTAAATCGTCATGAAACATTTGTGAAAATCCGTTTGTCATAGATGTGTGTTTATTTTTGAACTCTCAATTCTATTCTGCCGATCTCTATGTGCATACTTATGCTAATACTGCACCACCTTTTCTTTTTATTTTAATTTTATTTTTGTTTTCTATTGACAGCTAGCAATTGGCCAATTGATTGACCACAACTCTTTAAAGGTGGTGGGGCCTTGGACCATGTGATCTGTAATGACAAAGAGGTTCATACATGGCCAAGAGGGGCACCAAGGAGGGGCCATTGCTTCTGTGCTGTTAGCCGTGTGCTCAGTTCTGCAGGGATGTGTAAGATGTGCTCACCAAACAAAAAAGAATATGTGAATTGCTGAATACCTGAGCCAAGTGCCAGCACAATGCCACAGACATGCAGAAGTGAGCGTCATCCACCTGGTGGGGCAGAGTCAGGAAGGACTTCATGAAAGAAGTAGCATTTGAGGTCCTCCTTGTAGGATGGAATTTCAACAAGGGGTGCTCTGAAGAGTGTATGTTACCCCGTTCAGAGAATCCCAGGGGACAGGTATGATGCTTCTGCCTGGGAAGACTGGCCAGTTGATTGACCAAAACTCTTTAAAGGTGGAGGGGCCTTGGGGAGAATCCAGCTGGTGAAAGTGTCTGGCCCTCCTATTGGCCTCTCCTCTCCACAACCAGGACCGTCTCAGAACATGAGACAGTATGAAGGTGACCATTTTGCACAGAACAGAATTCCAGCCTGTTTTCCCTTTGGGGCGATGAGATGACTGCCAGCTCAACATCAGTATCCCAGCTAGACCAGGAGCTTCATTAGAGCATTGGACAGCATCATGCTTAGCTGTGTCTTCTCAACGCTTAGTGTTGAGATTGTCAGGCTTTCTGCAATCCCACCATTTGTCCTGGGGTTCCAAGACACAGACCTGTGGCCAGAGAGTCGTAGATGCACATGATTGAATGTGGAAGATGAAACAGGGAAAGTGAAACAGGGATCCAGGGTGTGGGGCCTGGGTGCTGCTGTGGGTACAGATGGGGAAGTCAGACCATAGGGCTGAGTGATCTGTGGAAGGGAGGGTGGGGTGGAGTACATAAGCAAATGAACTGAGTTTGGGGCCTGTGGGGCTTGGGGTGCTGTTGGGATATCCAGGAGGCTGTAGCCATGACAAGAGAATTTCTAGAAGGCTAGTTGGAAGCCCTCAGAGCGGGTGAGATGGCTGAGTGAGAGAGGGCAGAGATACCCGGGGGAGAAGGAAAAACCTACTTCTGTGCTCTTTGGCCTAGTGTTTTGCTTTCTGTTCCTAGAAAGGTCAGCGGTTCCCACTGCTGAAGTCTCTCCCACGCTTCCTGTTCTGGTATCATAGTTAATAGCTGAAGGAAGTGGTGGTTTTAGCCTGGAGAAAACTTCCT